CCAATAATTTATACATATATAGACCACAGCTAGATAGTTTGTAAAACAAAAATTAAAACTGACATTTTTTTTTATATTTATGATATCCTAAAATTTAGTCCACAAAATGGACCATATAAGATATTTGGAAATTTGGAAAGTGGCTTTCCAGAAAATTTAAAACCGTGACAAAATATGCCAAAACATAGCAAGAACAACCACAACAGGTAGGTATAGCTGTATATGAAGAAAAAGACTTTGAAAAGTTTGTATTATTTCAAAAATCATTTCTCAATTAGTCTTCAACAATTGATTTAAGTGATATATTTTTTATTCTTGTTTAAGTAAGACCTAAATTCGAGTCTAATGTATGATAAAAATCATTATTGGGAAAGCATGATCAACTATATCATCTCCATGAATGCACAAAAACAAACGGAAAATAATTTATAATGAACTGGTTTTATCCTTTAGATACAATGTGCTAATATTTTTAATCTTAAATGTAAAAATAAATAAATAACTTGTTTATATTACTGAAGATAATTCTTTTCCGAGTTATCTCGGGCGGGGATACATGTGGTTAGAAAAAATAGATTTGTGGCTGTTGGCCAGGACAACCTCAGTCCTTGGTGTCAAAAAAGGCAGGACAAAAACAGTTGCTTTGAAGCAAATCTAACTTGCATATACCATTATTCATCATCACATGATGCTTCATTGAACTTGCATACAAAAACCAATGACTATGTAATATTGACCACCTTGTACGTATCCCCGAATCCGCTAATTACAAAGGACTCGGAAAAATACTACCCCTTACAAAGAGCAACCATAGCCAAAACGTATAGAACTAAAACACAACAAGCCTTAACCTTGTACGTATCCCCAATCCCCAATGAAAACAAACATTGATTCTGGAACCATCAATAATTCTATGTTCGTGTACCAATAAAAAAAAATCAAATATATTTTTAGGTAACCAAAATACAAAGGTAAAAAATGAACATTATTTTATTTGGTATACGTGAAAAAGGTAAAAGTATGGGGCGTTTAATATGGGTGACCTACGAGTACCTTGTGGGTAACATTTACCCCATTTGTTTGGGGTTCATTTCATTTTTAATAACTTTTGAGTGTAGTATTTATATACTATTTGTATAAAAATTGCTACATAATTAATATATTATTTACTACTCATTTTTATTATTTTTTTAAAGAATGATATTGAAAATAAATAATAAATAAAGTATAACTGATAATATATAAAATTCATATATTATTAGTGTATACATTTTCCCATTCACAAATACATTCAAATCACAAGCATGGATGGCCAAACATTATGTCTAATGTATACCTAGTCCATGGAATGACCCACAAGACACGGTTCCCACAACTCTTCAATAAAATCTGGTTGTGCCAATTACCCACAACCAATTTCGTTCACGTGGCGTTAATATTTATATTTGATTTATTATTAGCAATGTAATATTGTTGTTTACTCTAAAGGGAGATTTACAAGGTGAAACAATAGAAGGATAGAAGAAGAAAACACCAAAAAGGGTGTTGGGAATATACTATCAATCAAATAGTAAAAGAGAAGAGAATAACACAAGTAATTTGGTAATGAGGTTCGTCCAATTGTGGCTACGTCCCCGAAAGCTTTAAGAGGCTACAACTATATATTATTAGAGAATAAGGATTTATGTTTAACTAGCGTTCTCCTTGTTACATTAGGTTTACATAACATAAATATATAGCTCTCTACTACAACCTTTTACATCAGCTCAAACTCATAACTTGTATGGTTGTTATTACGAGAGGAAGTCATTTTGAATATGAGCCATTTTGAGACACAATGAGACATTAAAAGTAGGACAGTATATCCACCCTAAACGTTTAGATATATATAAAGCGAAGCACGCACACTTAGTCACATACCATCCCTTAAAAAGAGAGAGAGAGAGAGAGTAACTACATAAGTTGTTGGAAAGAGACATGGCTACAGGGGCTGGCGGAGAAGGGTTGTTCCGGTGGGTGTATTCAGGGTGCATATCTAACTACGACAACTGTGTGGAGTGGCGGCCTTACCACCGGAACTGCAGTTGTGCACTTCATAACAAGTCACCTAATAACTGCAATCACAAGTTTGCAAGGTGTAACAATGTCTCATATTCTATGAGGAGAGCTTGGAGTGAAGGGAACTTGGTCTTGCAAACTTCATCATCTTCTCCTTCTCCTTCTCCTTCTCCTTTTACATCTGCACCAGAAGCCAATCCTTCACTCAGTTTCTGTAAACATGTACAGAGAGGAGGAATATAGTAGCTACTGTTTTAGTTGAGGTTTCAGAATAATTAGATTCTAAGGTTTTAAGGGTAACGGATGGAATGGAAACACTTTTAAGCTATGAAATACGTTGAAGTCTTCCCCTTTCTATTCATGGAGCATTTTATCCTCAGAACAAGTCTGGTCAATATAGTCCTTTATGTATTACACAACTACTCCATTTATTATGACTTGTAATTATGTTCATCAATTTTCTTTCATATGTACTCTTTAATCCTTATACTGTGAATATATAATATATATTGAGTTCAAAATTTTGAGGCCAGATCTATAGCTAATAATTTCATCTTTTCTGATTAATTTCTGTGGAGATTGGATTTTATGTTTTTTGGTATAAGAGTATTCATCGTATTTTTTGGATAATAAACTAATATCTTTTTGAATATGTAGTTGTCATTTCTTACACATGAATAAAATGTTAACTTCTAGTTCATATGGGAATTGAGTAAAGTCTTATATCACTAAAGGTGATTGTATATACTTATATGTAGTTTACTGAAGTCTTAAAAAACAAACAAAAAAAACTATTGTTCTTAATATATAAACTTAACCGAGAATTTATTATCCAGTGTTTTATGTAGTGATGTAAGACTTTACCAGATCTTTAGGATTAAAAGGAAAATAATTTAATTCTTATAAGCAATAATTGTTGAGATAGATAATTACACAATGTGAAAGTAATTATTTCCTTAGCCATAAAAAGAGTTTTGAGTTTTCATTCCAATATGAAGTTGGGCTGGTATTCCCGTAAATATTTCTTAATGATCAAATGGAACATTAATGAAGTCTGAACTAAGCTATTGACGATGTTTACATTCTGCAAGAATTCTCAATTTGGTTTCGAATACACCATCATCAACCAAAATCTTCATTCTAAAACGTGATTCATGAAAAACTCTAGTTGTAGTTTATGGATTCATATATATCAGTATCATTATCATATATATAAAAAGAAACAATCACGATGTCAATTGAAGAATCTTCATAATAAGCACGTGGCTAGAGCGGCATCGATCCTAATTATGAATAATATTTCATATTTTATAATAAGTTAGAGCGGGCAACACAAGTATTATAACCACGTTTTCCTAAACTATATAATTATATTGATGAAAACTCAAAATTGGTGTACTTGAATAATTGTAGAATCTTGGGAACATTTGAATTGCTAAATGATCGCATCAACAAAACTAGTTTAATGTACTCTAATATTCGGTTTTAATTCTTAAACTATTGCATTAGAAAAAGTTGCAAGTAACAAAGAGACAAAAGGAAAAAGAGGCAAAGAACATGTGAAGTGTGAAATCAATATGAGAGTACAGAATATACTAGCTGGCAGCTGGAGTAAGAATTTGATTGTCATTTCTCTTCTGACACTGATTCTGGAAGAGTAACATCATTCTAATACATGGTATGTGGTATCGTTTTTTTCTTTCTATTTTTACATTATTATTACAAGATCTATATTTTTTTATGATGAATCCGATATAGAGTATACAGTACATGGATTTTGGTACACATTGGATATATAAGGTAAACTAGGGAACCGACATTCCATTCATGAAAACTATAAGAATCTGATACTTGTAATGGCATTCAGAACAGAATAAGAATCTGATACTTGTAATGACATTCAACATTGACAACAGAATTTAACACAGGTGTCAAAAGGGATGAGAGAAAGACACAAAAGCTGGTCATCTAGTACAACAAAATATTAGATAGCGACAAATGGCGTGGATCATATAAATTTTATGTTGTATATGATTTAAGAGTGTTACACGTGTTTTCCAAAAGTCAAAATCTGGTTACAAGTCGGTTAAGGCACTCCTCTTTTGATATCCAGATATTGTTTCAAGTTTGCTAATGCAATTATGCAACCCATTCATCTTTGAATATTTTGTGATTTATTTAATGGAATCAAATCCATTTCAACTGAATGTAAGGAATCTAGAGGAAGAGAATTGGGAGATTGACAAGTAAGCACAACATAGAAAAGGAAGAGTGTTAAGTGTCAAAATGATCATATTTTCTACACTCTTTTTTAAGGGCAATTTAATTGGTCAAATCTCACATTTGGAATGTTTTGTAGGCAATAATTATACTTCATTGAATCCTACTATTTCAAAAACATTAACTTACCAAACAAATAAGGGTAGATTGGTTAAAAGAAAGAATTGTAAAGAGAAACTACATGATTGAGGACTAATGGTCTTAACCATATATATATATATATATACGATTAATTTAGAATAGATTTATTTAATTTTAAATCAATAAAAATGAATTCTCTAGCACTTCTCGAAATTTATGTGAAGAATAGATCCAACCTTTCACCTATTGATGTCTTTTCGTTCTATATTCCATGCTACTATTAGTTCCATGTACTATATAATGTATTATAGAAAGATTGTATGACAAGCAACATATACATCATAATTAGTGAGGAAGAAAGAGGGAAGCATGTAACTTGAAAGACATTTTCTCCAAAGCATGCCCTCAAAAAACATGTTTCAGTTACCAAGAAAAAATCATGGACTAATTGTTCCTAAAATTATGTTTGAATGTTTAATGTGAAATTTAACAGAAGAATGATAAATAATTACTGTAAACTGGTAAAGGTCACTTCACTGCTACTTCATATTGCATACAAACCTAGAGAAAGGGACATTGTATCAGATTCTTGACTTCAAGTTGCCTAGCATGAATTTAGAAAGGGAATGTGAACTAGCTATATTAGTGTTATATATCAAGACTCAAGAGGTTACACAAGGTTACATCATGGTCAACAAGAGATGATGGAACAATAAGCATACCAAATGTACTTCACTTTCCCTCTTAATTCAAATAAGAATAAGAAGCATTACATATATCAGTTTAGTTGAATTAGACATAACAAATTTGTTTAAAAAGTTATATATATTTGGGCTTTAACCAGACAGCCCGCACAAACTAGCCCATTTAGATCAAAGCAAATAAATCGTGCTGACCCCTCGTCAATATCAAAATTTGAAGCTTGCTTATGGGGTGGTGTGGAATTCTGAGATTCATAAGCAAGTTGTGTCACTTTTCAAGTCAAACTGCATTATGTTTTCCCCATGTTGATGCTCCATCCCAAAGGGCGTCGTTGAATTCATCAAAGGCTCTGAAAAATATTTTCTCCATTACTAGAGAATTAAGTTATTTTTTCTTTTACTTTTAAGGATAAAATTATAATTTTGTCATAGATAAAAAGGACAAATGACATTGTATCATATGTTCTCTTTCGTTTTTTAAAGTATTTCTCTCTCTATTAATAGAAAGTAGTTTTACTCAAGAGGCTCGTGCTTCTCAAGATTCGACCATGTTAGCATCAACAACTTATCATTCTCCAAACAGCATAACAAATCAGGCAATGCAAAAATATCAGCAATGTCAGCCATATGTTCATACTTTTCTTTTCCTGTATTACCCATATAAAAAATGTTACTCTCACACTCACTTTGCCGGGATGGTGCACACGAGAAAAATATGAATAATAATGTCATATGGAAGTAAGAAAAATAAAATAAAATATATGTATAAAAGTTTTTTACACTATCATTACATTATATATCATTCATATATAATCAAACATTAACTCTTAAATAAAACTAATAAAATAAATGCCGGATAATGTGTACCATTTTCCTTGTTAGGAGAATTTAAAATTGAGCAAAAGATGTAAGGGTAAGAGTTGTGAGCAAAATATATTCATTTATATTTACTAATCATTTAAAATTGAGTAAGATTTATATAAAAGTAATATATTATTTACTAGTCATTTATATATTTTTAGGAGTAAATGATAATTAAATCTAATTAGTAAATAATATAATAAAAATGTATAAAACTCACTGATAATTTTTCAATGGAAGTGGTCACTCTACGAAGCTGAAACTGCCAACTAGCATGATAATTTTCACCAATGTAATTGACAGAAATACCCTTCCGTAGAATATGATGAATCCACACTCGAAAGTTGAAACTGCTCTAATTTCCAATAGCTATATCATTTGAACCCCTCTTCCCACCCAACGAAACCTCCGTATCCTTTCTCGTCTTTTCCCTTTTCCCTTTTCCCTGTCTTCCAAAGCTTCTTCTCTCAAATGGCTGAAGAAGCAGAATCTACTCCCACTTCTCCTATCTCTCTCAAAAACAAACTCAAATCTACTCTCTTCTTATGGGGTTGCTTTCCCCATAACCGTATCAGGCCAAGGCTTGTTCGCTCCTCCTCCCTTCACCACAAGCCACGTAGTTTAATAACTGATTTCCCGCACCTTAAGGAAAAGTTCACCAACTTCGTCTCCCGAATCAGCCACCACCGTCGCCGCCATTCCGCCGATTTCCATTACGATGCTTTCAGTTACGCCTTGAATTTTGAAGACGACGTCACCGATGATAGGTCCGTCCATGATCTCCAGAATTTCTCCGCTAGATTGCCTCCGTCTCCGCCGTCCAAGGCGTTGCCAAATGCAACTATTAGATGATACGAAATGTAGTGTAAGATCTATAGATTGGTTAGTAATTGTAGTACAGGTTCGATCGTTCGAAACGCTGCTTGCGACGACGTTTTGAGGTAGTTATTTTTTATCTTCTGTGTTTTATTGTATGTGTTGTAGATATCTTCATTGTTGAGATCCACCAATAAAATGCAACGGAGACGAATAAGAAAAGGCGAAAGGGGAAAGATTAGAAAAAGGTAGAAATGGAAAGGTGATATCTCTGATTTCATGTTTTTTGTTAATTTAATTGTTATATTTTAATTTGGATTTTTTTATTTTTGCATATAGCATTGAAAATGAAATTAAGTTGAGCCAGAAATAGTGGTGGACACTGACAGGGATGGCGCACGAAGCAATTTCCCCGGTAACTAAATAACAATATGAGGAAATTACACTTAACATCTCATGAGTTTTAATGAAATTATACAAATCATTCATTCCTTCTTTGTTCTTACACCGCTCTCCTATACAAATCACCCCTAGATTTATACATACATTACACTGACTACTCTTGCATCTTATAAAATAATTTCAAATAAACGTTTAAATAAATCTTATATTATTTTATAACGAGCCAAATAATGAAGATACATTGACTCTTATATTATTTAAATTTGTCTATACTATATACAATATTATGTTTAATTAATTACATACATCATATATTTTTTTGTTCAAAATATTACATTTTTATATCATGTATGAGTAGTTAGTGTAACATATGTATAAAATCAGGGGTGATTCGTGTAAGAACAAAAAAGTGGAGGGTGGTTTGTATAGTTTCACTAAAACTCAAGGGGTGTGAGTGTAATTTACTCTATCAATATATATGTATAGTTAATTCGTTGTTTAATACTCAATTGGTAAAATTTATTATAAAATAACAATAAAATAAATTATATTAAATGCTTTTATAATAAAGGAATATAATTAAATATAAAATATAACTAGCAAATAAAAAATATAATTTAATAATTAAATATAAGAATATAAATTAACAAATATAAAATAAAAAATTAAATTAAATACTTCAATTACTAATATTTAATTGACAAATAAGTTTATGAATATAATATTATGGTACTAGTTGGCATTCATAAATTATTATTGTGAATATCATCAATTTAAAAAATATATTTTTAGTGGTGGAGTAGGAAGTAAGTCGTCACTTATGATATCATCCAAACCATGCAATTTCCAACATGAATTATGCATAATATAATTATTTCACCTTATATATATCTATATCTATACTTTAACATGGATCAATGCAATTTTGAACATGATAGTTTATTCTTTTCATTTTTTAACATGTAAAATTGCAATTCATTCAATAGAAATGCGAGTTGACAGACACATGAGTGCCCGCTAACATGCTAGTATATATAAAGGGAAAACACAGCATAAATACTCATTGGTGTAATTTGTGTTTTCCTATTTTGCCCTTACTAATATATATTTTATACCAAAAAACCATATAACATATTTTCTCATTTTATGTTTCATGTTTGTTTATGTAACTTTTACAGTTTTTCCATTTGAACACGACAGTTTTCCATATAGATCAAGACAATATTTGATTATGTCAGTTTATTCTTTTCATTTTTTAACATACAAAATTACAAATCACGTTTTGTTAATTTTATTATAGTTATGAAAAATGTAATAAAAATATACAAATCAATTACAATTCACTCAATAGAAAAGCAGGTCACATGTCTGTCAACACGCTAGTATATATAATGAATGAAATGTGATGAACTCTTTCATCTTCCCTAGATGAATCACTCCCTGCATGAGGCCTCCTATGTGAATGCCTAATGCGTTTTCTAATTGTTTTCTTTTCCTTCCCTCTTTCATGGTGAACCGTTGCTGGCGTTTTGAAGACTAAAAATATCTTTCATGAAGGCTATAAATATTTTTCAAATAACCACTTATGAGTATGCAAAATTTTCATACTTAGTGAAGATAATTTCTGAACTTGAAGTTTGAACAATGTTCGCTTTTTTAATTGCTACCAGGAACTTCTGTATGGCAAGTGCAACTCTTAAGAATATTACCATTCTTCTAAAAGGCTATTGCCCCAGAGACACGAACAATTAAGGAGTTACATTGAAGCAAGAGGACATGTAATTGTTGTTTCAAACTTTCAATTAACAGTAATCTTATTTTTATGACAAGTTCTATGAAGCAAACTCATCAGCTTTTCCGCAAGTATTAACGACCATTTGTAATGCATGCCATGTAAAGGTTGTTCTATCAATCTATCATACATATTTAACCTTCTGTTCAAGAATTTGAAGTGTCATTTCCACATTTTAAAAGACAAATGATATGTAAACAACAAAAAAAATAATTAAACACCGCTAAACTTTACTACCTTGCAAATTTGCACTAACTGTTTATTTCCTTGGGTAAAATTTATTTTCTTACAATTGTGTAATGATATAAACTTTATCAATATAAACTACAAAAACAATTAAGCCCAACTAAATTTACAACATGACATAATTCTGTTGAAAATTTTGAACAAAAAAACATCATTTTCTTACAATTGAGTCAATTTAGAACACATAATTATGTAATAAAATGGTCACAATAGTGGGAACTGTACCCCAAACAAATTTCACCAGCAAGGTTAAGAGTGAGTTCTAGAGACAACATAACCAAAACTGAGACAAGAACTAGTGTACAAGGTAGATGATTTGAGAACACAAGCAATTTTGACTACCTAATTCCCCAAACATAGCATTGCCACAACTATGCCCGAGGATTAGAAAACACATACAATTTCAACAACATAATTTCCCAAACAACAGCGATGCCACAAGATGGTACTGATATGGATTATAACAGTAAAAAATCTGTCACTGATTGGAAGATCATGATATACCAATCGATAAAAGTAGCTTTCCGTGGAAATATGGTTGGTGAAAGGGACATGGGAAGCATTACAAGATTCGGATATGAAATCTTACTTTGTACATTGGACTCTAAGAAGCTGTTTTATATGCAACTTGCCAAGGGATAAATATATTTGAAGAAATGGATATTTACATTCATGTGTACAATATCAATGAGATGGCATTTCTGAGTCGGCAGCAGACTCCGTTAATCCTCCACAAACATTGCTACGACAAAGAGGACATACGCTGTTATAGAGGGAAGAAAAAGTTTGTTATGTTTATTTATAAGATAGGATTTGGTTAAGATCAATAAAAATGAGAGGGGTTTTGGTTGCAATGACAATACCCATGTATTTCTTTAAGCCACTTATCAACACACATCATGTGATATTCATGGTTGCAAGGAAGAACTCGTATTTGGTCCCCTTCTTCGTACTCCGCCAGGCATATGTAACATCTATCAAATTGATCATTAATTTTTCTTGGCAAAAAAAGAAAAACTTTCAACTGTTAAATAAGCAAAAATAAGAGGCTCACTGTTCAGTGTCATTGCTACCATTAGCTGCATCAACCTTTTTGTGAGACTTCAGAGGGAAAGAGTCGACAATTGATTCAGGTGCAGGGAGTGAGACCATGGATAGGGAAAGTGATACAGGTTGCCGATGGATTTCATCTAAAACCTGCAGAGGAAAAATAAGGTTCCAGGTAAATCGGTTTTGGTTAGTCCAATTGCAAAGCATTTGCAGGATGATATCCTAGCACTACAAAACATTTGCAGGTCTACATAAGGAATAAGAATTGCCCCCCTGTAGATGGAAAAGGCCTCACTAAATTATGAAATCCAATATCAGATAATCTTAATTATCAAGAAAATTGATTATGGAGAAAGAGGCCTAAATGGTGAAAAACAAAATCGAAGGAGTATCCACACTGTAATAACTTATCAAGTAAGCATTCTACGCCATAATTGCATCCTAGTTAGATATAAAGCAATAAATGCCGGAAATATTAAGTAATATTTTTAGTGTGATAAGCAGAAAATTATGATGCATAGAACTTCAGTATTCAATAAAAACATTAGACAAGGGAGGAAAGCCAGAATGGATCGAATCTAGGAGCAAACAAAAAATTATAAAATTCGAGCGGAGGTTTAAAGCTAAGACCTCAAACAGAGCCTCTGCTAGCATGACTATTCTATAAATACTTGCTCGAGTGCTAGATTCCTCAGCTATTGGGGAAGAGTCACATGAGCACATACCATCTGCATGGAGTCCTAGTGGGCAGGAAGAATTTAACTGACCAATCTCATCAAGGCCACCACGAAGCCTTTCCCATATCTATTAAAAGTAATGGAAACAGCTTAAATTACAAGAACATGATAAAAAAAATAAGTTAACAAATGCAAATATTATAAGAAATTCAAGACATTCTATGATCTAAATATTCAGAATCACCTCAGATCTTGAGTGCCGCATTCGTCCATTCAATCTGTGAATTCTACTGCCCATATAGCCAGAAGAACCTCGAACCCTATTATTTGAGAAATCACCACCAAAATCAACAAGCCATCGATCCCGAGATTCTGGATCATCGGCACCACCGGCAGAGAAGATCATTGTCATAGAATCACCAAGCCC